CTATATATATATGTTTTAAGTAGTTGCCTTAGGATTTATAATATCCATCTTTAACATGCCACAGACTACCTTCAAGTAGTAGTATACTATTTCATGTATAACTTAAAACCCTTAATTTGGTACATTTCCACTCTTCCATTTTTTCTTGTCATTAAAGAGAAAAAAATATTGGTTCTGTATTGTTGGGTTATTACGAGTTTGAAATTAGTTAATACATGTAAAATAGTTTGAACATAACAATGAGAAATTCTTGAGTCTGCAGCCCAAAGGTTTCTTTTCTAACCTGCCTCAGATAGGCACTGCCATGGTCATACCTGAGACTGTTGGTTCTCAATTCTGACTGTACATTTCAATTATCTGGGCAGCTTAAGGAAATATTGATGGTAGTGTGCCACCCTTAGAAATTCTTATTTTATTGGTCTGATATTTTTTTAAAAAGTGTTCTACTTGGCTTCAGTGTGTACTGTGGAGAATCATTACTCTAGACTTCATCACCATAATCTGTAACATAAGCTATTTTAAGCATCTAACTCTGATTTTCATCTCCTCTTTTTTCAGCTCATACTCTAGTACTCTATTTTGACATTTCTTGGACTCCATTGAGACCTTCAGCCTATTAGTCACACCACTTTTTCACTATCCATCATCCCCCAAATATAGTAATTTTTTTTTGTACCCAATTATTGATTTGCTGATTAAGAATTTATCAACTCTCTTGTTTTCCTCTTCTTTTACTGTAATCAGGGGAAAATATCAGCCCTGATTAAACTCAGTTCTTTGCCAACTCTGCTTCCTTGAACCTGAGTAGCAGAGTGTGACTGGAGAAGACAAAACAACAGTGTTGACAGTCTTACTTTAAATTAATGACCACAGATATCACTGTGCCCTCACGATTACCTAGTTATTTTGCTCTTCTACTTTCAGTACTAATGTCTTTTTCTTCCTTGTTTTTAGCTACATATACATATGTACATGCCAACCCCTCCATCTGTGCTGTGGCCTTTGGGCTCCTACAGGATTTTGCTTGTTTTTGGAATTATCCTTTCTCTTCTCTGCATCATCTTTCTTCCCTGCTGAATCACTTTTGTAAACATACAAACAAGCTGTACCATCTCAGTACTCTCTCCCTGTCTTTCTCACACACACACACACACACACACGGGTGTGCACCTTTCATTCTCATTTATTGCAAAATCTGTCAAAAAGAATTGCTTATACTCACTGTCTCTACTTTGCATTTTCTCTCCAGTTCACTTGAGGCTGGCTCTTCTTCACCCCCACCAACTTAAACCACTCTTGCTGATATTTTCAATCTTAAAGTTATTCTACTTCTCATAACATTTGACATAGCTGATCATTCCTAATTTTTTGAAAAAGCTCATTTGATTTTCTGAATGCTATACCATCCTGATTCTTTTCTGGTTTATGGCAGTTATTCTTAGTCTTCTTTTCTAGCTTTTCTTCCCTTACCTCTAAAGGTTAGAGTGTCCAAGACTTTGACCATATACTTAAAACCATCATTAATTTGCTGTTGACTCCAGCCTTGATATCTTTATCAAACCCTACATTATACTGGATTCCCTTTTCCACCTGAGTATTTTGGTTTATTTTCTCAAACCTTTCCTTTCCTCAGACTTTACCATTTCAATATATGGCACCACCATTTACCCACATGTTTAGGCCATAAACTGGACATCATTTTTACTTTCTCTTGTTCCCTCATACCTCCAATCCAGCAATAGCAGTTTAATCTTTCAACTATATTTCAAATCTTGCCATTTCTTGTCATTCCCACTCCTTTGCCTTACTGTAAGCCATTATTATCTTGCTTCTGGACTCTTGCTATTGCTTCCTGCCTCTACTTCTTTCTCCCTCTAGTCTGTTTATACCAGTTAGTCTTTTTTTAAGACATAAATAACATCACTGTCATCCAGAGGCCGCTAGAGGTTTTCTATAACACTTAGAATAAAACCCAGAGACCTTACCTTAGCCTAAAAGATCCTATGTGATTTCTCTCTTAGCTGACCTCATCTCCCCATATTTCTTTAAGCTCTGGAGCCATAGCAGCCTTGCTGTTCCTTAAAGATCAGTTATTCTTACTTTCTTCCTGTTTGGAATGTTCTTTATCATCATAAAATTTACTCCTTCATATCACTTAAAAACCTGTGCTCAGATCTTCCTTCCTTCCTTTTTCAAAGAGGTCTTCCCTGATTGCACTACAAAAATAAACCTTCCCATTACTGCTTTCTTTCCCTTTGTCTTGCTTTTTCTTCACAGCACTTATGCTTTCTGAAATTATTTATTTACAAGTCCATTCTTGTTTACTGATTATTTCCCAGCTGTAATGTGGGCTCCATAAAGACAGGGCATTCTTATTTTCACTGCTTTAACTTCCATCATTTAGAACAATGTCTTGGGCTCAACCATAGGTTACTAATATACCAGCAATGATTGTTTAGCAAATATAAGAGCTCCTTCCCTTTAGCCACAAAACTGTAAAACACTTATGAATAACTCAAACAAACAATGTACAAGAACTGGATGAAGAAAATCATGAAACTTAAAGGCTTTTTTAAAAAAGAGACCTAAATAAAATGGAGAACGATAACTTAGGAGAACTAGATATTGTAATGATGCCCATTCTCCTTAAATAGTCTGTGTTTTAGAGCAGTTACAGAGATCTCATTACCCCCTTCCTCCAGCCTGGTAAGCTTAGATGAATAAGCCTGGAAAGCCTTAAAAAAGGGTGAAGAACGGAATTTATCTGCAAGATAAAAAAATATACAGAACTATTATAATTAACAATGGGTTGTACTATATTGGAAATTGACTTATGAAACAAAGTAGGGGTTAGATTTTATAGGATTTTATAGGATTTTAGTATGTGATGATAGAAAAGAATTATTCAGTAAGTTAACCTTTCCTTAGGAAGTAGATGACATGGTTATAAAGTTTATTCTGTGTAGAGCATTTGTAAAGCAGTGATACTCATTAGGTATATTTGAGTTGTGAGAGCTCTTTACTCTTAAGGTTAGGGATCTAGTTAACTATGCCCTTAGGGTTACCTTCTGTAGTATAAAATATTTCCCTCATTCCTGATCAGCTTAATTTTTTGATCTGATAGTATGTTTATGTCTCTTCCTTTTAACTTATTACTTCCACTATGTATTTAATACTGAAATAAACTTAACAGAATTTCTTTTAAACTAACACCGAATAGACTGTATAAGATGCTGAAATGCTTGAAGTGTGTACATTTTGCTGCTTTTGCTATCTGTTGTAGCTCTTCAAGGCTGGTTCTTGGCTGTATATGAATTCATGAGGTTGCCAGAAGGCTGGGTTTCAGAAACTTGTGAGGTTTTATTTTACTTCCTTACTTTGTGTTCAGTCAATAAAATTCAGGAATAATAATTCAGCTTTCAAGGAAAACAGAAAAAGGTCCATGGGGAAAAACTTTTGATGCTGAAATTGTTCCCAGTTTGGCCAGTGAGACTCATCAAAGGCCCTTTTGGTAAGAGGACCTCAGGTAGTCTGTGAGTGGTGCTTTCTTTCTGTGTAGGATGTTCAAGGTGTATCTTGGGCTTTTCTTTCCCGGCCTTGGAATTGGTCACTTCTCCAAGGAACTCTAAGACCTTTTGGTGGAGAATGGCTCTAAGAAGCAAAGATTTAGGCCTGAATGTTTGTTGCTGGTGGTATGTTACAGATTTTGGGTTTTCTCTTTAGTAGATTGGAGGAGGAGATACACACACATTCTTTTTTTATTGAAGTATCATTGGTGTACAATCTTATGTTGGTTTCAGGTGTACAACACAGTGATTCAACAGCTGCCCATGTTATTAAATCCTCACCCCATCTAGTGCGGTCACTATCAACATAGAAGGATGTTACAGAATCATTGACTATGTTTTCCTTGCTGTACTGCCATCCCAGTGACCATCTTATATGTGATTGCAAATTATTGGATACATACTTGTAAACAGCTTATTGAAGTATAATTCAGCCACCACAGAATTCACCCATTTAAAAGTATACAATTCACTTTTTTTAAAATTAAGGTATCATTGATATACAGCCTTATGAAGGTTTCACATGAGCAACATGTGGTTTCAACATTCACTCGTATTATCAAGTCCACCCCTGCATCCCATTGCAGTCACTGTCCATCAGTGTAGTAAGATGCTATAGACATTACTTGTGTTCTCCATGCTATACTGCCTTCCCTGTGACTGTGTTGAATTCACTGTTTTTTAGTGTCCTCACAGATTGCTGAACCAACACCACAATTTTAGTCAGTTTCAATTTCATCACCCCAAAAGAAACCCTATACCATTAGCAGCCACCCCCCATTTCCCACACCACCCAGACCTAGGCAAGCTACAATTCTTTCTCTTTCTATGTATATATACCTATTCTGGACATTTCATATAAACAAAATTATACTGTGGTTTAATTTTGTGACTTTTCTGACTGACTGCTACCACTTAGTATGTTTTCAGTTTTCATCCATGTTGTAACATGTATAAGTACTTAATTCCTTTTTATTCTGAATGATAGTCCATTGTATAGATGTAGTACATTTTATTTATCTCTTCATCAGTTGATAGATAATTCGGTTGTTTGTTTCCATTTTTGTCTGTTATCAGTAAAGTTGACACACTTAAAAATTTTATTTTTGAATTATTTTAGGTTTACAGAAAAGTTGAAAATAGTGTAGAGAGGTTCTGTATTGCTCTGTGGTTAACATTTTACATTACCATAGTACGTTTGTCAAAACTAAGACATCAATGTTCTTACATTGCTATTCACTATAAGTGCAGATTTTATTTTAATTTCACTAGTTTTTACATTAATGTCCTGTTCTGTTCTGTGATCCACTTCAGGGTACCACAGTGCATTCAGTATATATATATTTTAAAATACTGATGCCTCTAATTCCATTCTATGTAATACAGAGATTCTTACTTCTCCCATCCCATATTTATATCTCCCTTTTCTCATAGCAAGAACTCTGACTTGCAACAATTGTTCAGTCATAGAGTACATGCAGAATAATTTCAGAATTGCTACAACCATACCACTGTACAGAACAAGCCTTCTAAGTAAAGGTCAGTCTTTCTTTTCAGTTCTTCATGTTAAAGTAAATTGTTCAAAAGTTATTTGGGTTAGTTCTTTTTTCATTTCCTTCTATCTGATTATATTTTCAATTTGATAGACAAATACGTTCATTGACTCATGTATCTTTAAAGCTGAAGTAAAGTATTTAACCAAGTCAGTATTTTTTGTAATGAAATTTAGAAATTGTTCTTCTCTAGCCTTCAACCTTCAGAGTGAATATGCTCTGCTTATGTGTTTTGTTTGAACTTACTAGTGTTTAAGAATATTGCCAATATTTTTAAAACCTGCAGATTTACATAAAAATCTTCTTTGTAGCTTCTTTTAAAAAGGCAAAAAAGAAGTCTGGTTTTGCCGAGTCCACTTGGCAACAATTGGATGGATTCTGACAAGTAGTGGCTGCCTGTGCTCTCTAGTTCCCACGACTCTTATGTCCTGCCTGACCTCTTTAGGCATTTGTGTTTGCAACCCTCCTTTACAAATCTTCCAGTGGCAGGTGCAACAGTAGAGAATTGCACTGCTCTGTGTTCTGGAAGAGGACATATTTTATCTGAAATGGCTTAACTATTTCAATTTTGTAGTTCCGTGACCCAGCCAGCATAATTGTTGTTGGTAATGCTCTCAAAATGGAATCACCACCAAGGGCCTATTTTAAGTTGGTTAACTGTAACAAATAATTTTGATAAAACTGTATTTTCTCTGTAATTTAAACAAAGTTCATTCATTCTCCAAGGTTTGGAACACCAAGGAAAACAGGTATTTTTGAAGTTTTAAAAATACCTTTTTGTTAAAGTGATAGAAATTGTATAAACTACAGTTAGCCTTGTAGATATAAGTTAATAACGTCTTCTTACTATTAACAGCATTTATTTATTTAAAGGTATGCTGTTCATAAGCAGTAAGGGGAATGAAATTGATTCTGAAAGATAAACTGTAGTCGGAAAATGAAATTTAATTACTAAACTATATGTCTTAAGTTTTTTCAAAATTAAATATTTTTGTTAATATGGACCCATTTTTACCAGCGATAAAGAAGGTCATTATGTAATGATAAAGGTGTCAGCTAATAAAAAGGTCATAACAATTCTAAATGTTTTAATGCTATTAATAACAGAGCTTCAAAATATATGAAGCAAAAAGTGGTAGAACTAAAAGGAAAAATAAATAAATCTATAATTATAGTAAGGGATTTCAATACCACTGTCTTGATAATTGATAGAACCAACAGACAGAAAATCAGTAATGATATAGTAGAGTCAAACAACAGTTAGCCTACTTGACCTGATTGGCATTTGTAGAACCCTCTGTCCATCAAGAGAACACACATTCTGCTAAAATGCACGTGGTAGGTTTATCAAGATAACCATATTTGTAGCCATAAATCTAGTCTAAATAAGTGTGGAAGAATTCAAGTTATACACAGTATATTCTCTGACCAAAATGTAATCGTTAGAAATTAGTAACTGAAATATACTTAGAAAATTCCCAAGTACAAAATTTGGAAACTGAAAAACACTTTTAAAATAGTTTATGGTCAAAGAATACACTTTAAGGTAGGGAAATTGGAAAATATTTTGAACTGAATAAAAAGAAAATGAAACATACTCAAATTTGTATACACTATTAAAACATTATCTGGGGGGAGGGAGTTTTATAGCACTAGATACCTCCATTAGAAAAGAAAGATCTCAAATCAGTGACTTAAGCTACCACATTAAGAAACCAGAAAAATAAGAGCAAATAAAATTCTGCCTAAACAGTGGAAAGGAAAAATAAAGATCAAAGTAGAAATAAAAAAAAAATCAGAAAAGCAGTAGAGAAAAGTCAACCCAAAAGCTGGTTCTTACAGAAGATCAATAAAATTGTTAAATTTCTAGACAAACTGATCAGGTAAAAAGAGAAGACACAGTTACTATAACAGAAATGAGAGATTATATCACTATATATTCTACAGATGTTAAAAGGAAAATAAGGAAATATTAGGAACAACTTTATGCCAATAAATTTCAAAATGTAGGTGAAGGGTACAAATTCCTTTAAAAGATACTGCTATATGTGAGGGACAGTGACTACAATAGGGTATGGGGTGGGTCTTGATAATATGGGTGAATGTAGTAACCACATTGTTTTTCATGTGAAATCTTCATAGTGTGATATCTTAATAAAAAAAAAGACACTGCCATAAACTGAATGTTTGAGCCTCCCCATGGTTATGTTGAAACCTAATTCCCAATGTAATGTACTTTGCAGGTGGGGCTTTGGGAGGTGTTTTGGTCATGAGAGTAAGACCCTAATGAATGGGATTAGTGCCTTTCTAAATGAGACTCCAGAGAGATTCCTCTTTCCCTTGTGCCATGTGAAGTTATAGCAAAAAGATAGCTTTCTATGACCTAGGAAGCCAGCTCTCACCAGATATGGAATTGGCCAGTACTTTGACCTTGGACTTCTTCACCTGAAGAACTCTGAGAAACAAATTTCTGTTGTCTTTTAGCCACCCAATCTAGGGTATTCTGGTATAGCAGCCTGAATTGACTAGGACATATACTATGAAAGTTCACTCAAGAAGTAGGTAACCTGCCACCATCCAAAAGACAAACAACAACAAATGTTGGTGAGGATATGGAGAAAGGGGAACCTTCTACATTGCTGGTGGGAATGTAAAATAGTTCAACCATTGTGGAAAGCAGTATGGAGGTTTCTCAAAAAACTCAAAATAGAAATGCCATTTGACCCAGGAATTCCACTCCTAGGAATTTACCCTAAGAATGCAGCAGCCCAGTTTGAAAAAGACACATGTACCCCTATGTTTATCGCAGCACTATTTATAATAGCCAAGAAATGGAGGCAACCTAAGTGTCCATCAGTAGATGAATGGACAAAGAAGAGGTGGTACATATACACAATGGAATATTATTCATCCATAAGAAGAAAACAAATCCTACCATTTGCAACAACATGTGTGGAGCTAGAGGGTATTATGCTCAGTGAAATAAGCCAGGCGGAAAAAGACAAGTATCAAATGATTTCAGTCATCTGTAGAGTATAAGAACAAAGAAAAAACTGAAGGAACAAAACAGCAGCAGACTCACAGAACCCAAGAATGGACTAACAGTTACCAAAGGGGAAGGGACTGGGGAGTATGGGTGGGGAGGGAGGGATAAGGGGGAAAAGGAGCATTACGATTAGTAGACATAATATAGGGAGTGGGGTACACGGGGAAGGCAGTATAACACAGAGAAGACAAGTAATGATTCTATAGCATCTTACTAGGCTGATGGATAGTGACTGTAATGGGGTATGTGGTGGGGACTTGATGGGGGGAGTCTAGTAACTATAATGTTGCTAATGTAATTGTACAGTAATGATAGCAAAATAAAAAAAAATATATGAAAAAAAAGTAGGTAACCTGACTAGCCCTATGTGTATTAAAGGAATGTAATTTATAGTTAAAAACTTAACCTACAAAGAAAACTCCAACCCAGATGATTTCACAGGTAAATTCTATCAGACACTTAAAGAAGAAATAAAACCAGTTCTATATAAACTCTTCCAGAAAATTAAATAGAAGGAAATTCTTCCCAACTCATTCTTTGAGTCTGACATTATCTTGACACCAAAACCAGGTAAAGACATTACAAGAGAACTACATGCTGATATCCTTGATTAATGTATGTGAAATTTCAAACAAAACTTTGACAAATAGAATCTAAGTATATAAAAAGGATGAAATAACATGATAAAATGGAATTTGTCTCAGGAATGCAGGGTTGGTTTATAACTTAAAAAGTAATCAGTGTAATTCACTATATTAAAAAGGGAAAAAAGAAAAATCATGTGATCTCAGTAGAAAAGGTATATGATAAAGGCCAGCATATATTCTCTCTTTTTTAATTAAAGTATCATTGATATACACTCCTATGAAGGTAACACATCAATAGCATTTTGGTTTCAGCATTAACCCATATTATCAATTCCCCCCTACCACCATTGCACTCACTGTCCTGTGTAGTAAGATGCTACAGAGTCATTACTTGTCTTCTCCGTGCTGTACTGCTTTCTCCATGATCTTCCTATATTGTGATTGTGGATTATTGTGCCCCTCAATCCCCTTTCCCTCCCAACTGACCCTCCCCAGTCCTTCCCATGTGGTAACCCCCTAGTCCCTTCTCAGTGTCTGTGAGTCTACTGTTATTTTGTTCTTCTATTTCGCTTTGTTTTTTTTTTTTTATTAAGGTATCATTGATATACTCTTATGAAGGTTTCACAAGAAAAACAACATGGTTATTACATTCACCCTTATTATTGAGTCCCCCCCCATACCCCATTGCAGTCACTGTCCATCAGTGCAGTAAGATGCTACATAGTCTCTATTTGTCTTTTCTGTGCTACCCTGTCTTCCCTGTGACCCCCCACACACCATGTGCACCAATCGTGATAGCCCATAATCCCCTTCTCCCTCCCTCCCTACCCAATCTCCTCCACCCCTCCCCTTTGGTAACCACTAGTCCCTTCTTGGAGTCTGTGAGTCTGCTGCTATTTTGTTCCCTTCAGTTTTGCTTTGTTTTTTTACTTCACAAATGAGTGAAATCATTTGGTATTTGTTTTTCTCCACCTGGCTTATTTCACTGGTCATAATACCCTCCAGATCTATACATGTTAATTGCAAACTACCTATTCTTTCAAGACTAGAAAAGAACTTCCTTAACTTGAAAAAGAGAATGTATGATAAAATCTGTAAGTAGCATCATATTTACTGGTAAAAGACTGAATGCTTTCCCCATAAAATTAGGAACAAAGCAGTTTCTCTATTTTTTGATCAAAGAAATGTACATTAAAACAACCTCCTTGTACCAGTTTTACTCAACACAATAAACATAATACAATTACTATACCCAGTGGACCATAGATACATTACGATTGCCATGATAGATTGGTATATTCTTTTCAAAAGGCAATAAAGTAATATATAACAATAGTTATATAGGCATTTATG